CTTTTCCCAGTCCATATAATAGTCTTTGTTAATATCAGATATCAGCAGATGCCAGAAGCCAAAGTGTCGTTGTCTGTATCATACCTGAAAAAGCTAGATCGGTGCATCCTTATATAAAACAAATACCTTTTTAGAACAAAGACACTCAATTTAGAAATATTGTCTATTCATCGTTAGTTGCAGCCCAAGTCACAATAACAATTTTGACATATTGAGTATAAATAAATGAATAAATGAAAGCAAGCTCAAATATACGAAAGATTTTTCCCACTAGTTTAAAGAACAATTTACTCATTGAGACCCAAAACATTGTTCCTTCTATGAGTTATCAAGTCGATATAGTAATTACCGTGACAGGTTTACATCTGCATAGGGATTTCCAATAGAATTAGCCTAGTTAAAATGTTTTCAGTTGGAGAGTCTTCTACCTGTTTGTCTCATGAAAATTGTATAGCTTTGCCTTGAATGTTCCACAGTACAATTCTGAATAGTTAAAAATAGGCTATTTTTATATTTTTGATGATGTCGCTTGTCTCCATGGAGATGAACAAGTTTTTCACTAGCATCCTTAAGGGGTTAAACATTTTATAAAAGTTACCACAGAAATATAGTAAACAAGAGCCATCTTTGACAATGAAAAGTGTACTAAATAATATGTCTGTCTCTTCCCTCTTGAGTAAATGCCATTATCGTCTGCCGCTTTTAAAATCAATATACAGTATAAAGGCCTCACAACAACACGAGGACATATATTGATTATGTGGCCAGTAAAAATATAATAACTTGGCTATAACTGCTGTAAAGGGACTGGGTGGTACAATAAGCCTCATGGTTCATTATGATAGTGTGTGGAGAAGCTTAGATTTCAATAAATGTGAAAAAGTGCTCCACCCAGGTATGAGCCTCCAAACACAGCAGCAATTCACCAATACTGTTCAGTGATGCAGTAATTACTCATTTGCAAATCACGCATAAGTATTTTTATTTGTATAGGCACCAAAGCAAAAGGGAGGAATACTTGTAAGAATACAAAAATGCTGACAATTTCTGATAAGCTTGTGATTTTATTTGGTTGATAGTAGGAATTTGTTCAAAGATTATATTTTAAAGCCATCCAGGAGCATTTGAGACAAGACTGAAATCTGAATGATAATAATATGATCCAAGAATCTTATTTGCATTTACTGTTTGCAGAGAAAATTATGCTAATGTATATCACTGCAGCCTTTGGAGTTTGTTAATTGCACGATCTATTACAGTTGTGTTCTTGTAGCCCTATGAGAGACCATTTTAAAGGTCCTAAATTGCACAAAATTGATTCTTGTGAGCTTCAAGTCATGTTAGAATGTTGTTACCTCCTCAAAAACAAACCTACAATTGTGTTTTGTTTCACTCACACATGTTGGAGTAACCCTTCATTATTAGTCTGTCTACATCTTCAAAGCTAAAAAAGCTCTGTTCCACCTTGTGATGTCATGTAGTAGTAGTTTTCAAGTTAACAGCCTATTTCACCTTTTGATCAGTAGAGATTAGAAATTCCATGTCTGAAATAATCCAGAAACACAGTGGAGCACTTCCTGTATTACCACATGACATCACAAGGTGGTACAGGGTGTTTTAAGTTTGAGAGAAGAACTCAGCCTAAATATGCAGGATTTGTGTGTTAAACATCTGTGAATGAAACAAAACACAATTCTAGGCTTTTGATTGGAAAAAACATTATAACATCGATAAAAAAATAGTCTAAGTCCTTGCATGTTAGTAATAAAGAATAATAATATAAGTTTTTGTTTTTTTTAATCAGATTTCTATAGTTATTTCAGCATTCTAGTTTGCAATGACTGTCAAAGCCCTGTAAATGACTATGCATATTTGAAATAAACCACTGTACCCAACATTTTAAAAATGTATTAGATTAAGTTAATTTTACACCCATTATTTTGTTTTAAAGCGATACAACTGAGTTTTAAAAGGCACGATTAATGCAAATTATAAGACATTAAAATGGATATTAGCACATACATGCAACAATTTATTCATAGATCTAAGGACCACATGCTGTGATGTGACCTTCACTGCTTACTTTAAAATTAGAATATTTGATCACATCCCTGGATATTCAACGATAATGAGGTTTACATGGATAGAAATTTACTGCACTAAGCACTGACAAAAACCCCAAATTAAAATGCTACAGTGGTTTCAGGAAATGTTGGTATTTAAAAAAGGTCCTATTACACAGAATTTACTCCTATGCGCTTTAAGTTATATTATAATGCTGTTACCTCATCATAAAATATATCTCATCAAAAACATATCTGGAGTTGTGTTTTGTTTCATTCACACATTTGGAGTAACCCTTTTTTATTTGTCTGTCTACATCCACAAAGCTCAAGGCTGTGTTTTAGGGATACACCAATCCAGCTTTTTCAATTCCGACATTACAGTATTTTTTTTCCCCTTTAAACTAAAATAAGATAAAACTGATCCAAATGTGTTATGCAGCTTCATCTGAGGTAACTAAAGAACAGCTTTGTATAAAAAGGTCCAAACATTATGAGACTTTCTGGGCCGAGCACTACCAGTTAATAGTTCTATTACATCGGTTTATATGTTAAACCAGGATATCAACTCAACTGATATTTGGAAGCTGATATCTAATCCACCAAACTTTTCAGTATTGCCTTTTCATTATTCGGGTTATCCGATACCAGTATTGGATTTGGATTTGTGCATCCCATTCCACCTTGTGACTTCATTAAGCAGTAATTGTCTAATTAACTGCTACATTTACCTTCAGTTCGGTAGAGTTTGGCAATCCCATGGCTGAAATTATCCAAATGATTCTACTGAAGGTGTATGGAGATTCAAAACACAGCAATGTATTTCCTGTTTTCCCACAAGTATTTCTGTTTAAAAGAAGAACTCAGCCTAAACATGCAGGGTTTGTGTGTTAAACATGTGTGAATGAAAAAAAAAAAAAAAGGAAACAATGTTATATCACACCAGAAAATAGCATAATATGGGCCATTTAAAAATAAGGCACACAATGCATTTTAGTCTCAAGGGCAAATAAACATGATGACTGTCTAAACTATGCACTAAAATATCAGCTTCATCACATTTAAATCTATTTGCATATGAATAATTAATGCAAGTGTAAGCAAAGGCTAAAACTGTACCATTTGTGTGGCAGCCTAGTGGGAGGCTGACAACGAAAAGGTCAGGAGAAATTGAAACAAAGCGATCCAGCGTGGCTTAAATGGAGTTCATAGTAAACTACAGTCTTCTCTATGAAAACTTATGGGGATACAGAGGTGCAGGCTTTAGCTTTAGACACAGCAGAAAGAAGAAGCGAGTGAGTTAGCTGAAGATTTGGTATTTTTTGGTGTTTATATGTAAAAAGGTAGATACAGTTAAATCAATTTGTGTATAAATGGTTGCACTGTCTTGTGAATGCAGTTTAAGTCAGATAACTAATTTTGACATCTTTTGCCACACCCCCTTTTTGGTGACTAATCGGTCAGCAGGACAGCAGGTCTTTAGTCAAACAAGAATGTCTTTAGTCAACAACAGGGGAGACTGTTACTGCACTATAGAAAGGCACATCTAAAACTGGTCAGCTTAAAGGTGCATTGTGTAACTTTTCTGGTGGAGGGTCTGCCAAATGCTTTTCTCCATGGAGATGTTATTGCTCTGTTTGGAATGTTTCACCTTTTTATTTTCATGGAGACCAAACCAGGCCAAGTTTCTAGGTACTGTATTTCTGGGCAAGAAAACCACCTGTAATTGAATAAATATAAGGCAGAGCTGTTTAATATCATACTGTGAAACATTTCAGGCAGAGCAATGACATATCCATAGAAACAAGTACGTGACGGACTCCCAACCACAAAGTTACATAGCACACCTTTGCAAACTGAAGTGTATGGAATAATTTTTGGATCATTTTTAGACTTTTCAACCAAAAAAATGAATGATGAAATATGGTGACCAAAGTCTTGTAAATAGTGAAGCTTTATGAAATGCATTACTAATGAAAATCAGAAATAGTTACTTCCTTTTTGGCATTTTTATTTAATACTGTTGCTGTCTTTGTTATAATTTGTTACTCAAAAAAATATATTTTTTGTGTGTACTGTTATCAAAATATGACTACTTTCATTTTTGTAGATTAATCATTACAGCCCTATTTTAGATACAGAAAAGCAACATTCAATGTGCATGCCTAAAAACAACACTAACACTGAGGTTTAGGCCTATTTGAAATACAATTACAATGCCTATGCCTATCCATATTCTATCCTTGGAGTCTTTATCATTTGCGGGGTGTGACTGCCCATATCTCTCCAAGTAAATAAGGTCAAGTAAGTAGCTGTCTCAAATCACACAAAGTTTATTTCATATTACTTCCACAGATGCCAAGATGACCCAGCGGTTCTGGAAATCACGTGATTGATCCACTATCCAAAAGCGCACTTGTAGTAATAAGTGGCCGTAATTCACACGTTTAAGATAGCGTTTGATAACGACTGAGAAACCCGTGGTTAAAATGTTAAGGTTGACTGGTAGTTTTGGTTCCTCTTGCGAGTCAAACTAATAACTAAAACCATGACAATAGCCTTTTCCAACCGCAACCAGGCGTCTCATTCAAACAAGTTTACAAGGCAAGGCTGATCTATCATTCATTCACAAGGAGGGGAGGGGACCTTTACCACTACTGCATTATAAATCTAGCAAATGCATTCATAACGTAAACCACGTCGAGTCTGATTGTTTATATAAGCCAAAATATAAGCACCAAGTTCAGTGAAAGCCTGTCAACTTTTACCTCCAGCCAGTGTGGACCAGGCTAGGAGGATACGCGGTGCACATAGCGGTAGGCAGTGTCCCGCTTTCCCGCAGAGAACTGCCGACAGCGGCGCTCCTTACACCGGGTTAAATGAAAGCACAAGACCGTGAGGATGATCGCTAGACGGTGCACGGATCGGTTTACTCACCAGAAGCACCAAAAGCCACATTTTCGCCTCTCTCATCCGACTCCCGTGGCGGTTCCAAGAGGCCATGATGCCGTTGCCACGTCTGGATACGCATGCGCAATCAGTTTTCCACGGTTTCACGGGCAAGAAGCTGCGGATTGTGGGAGATGTAGTTTTCCACGGCGACATGCCAAGCTAAAGGTGATTTCAGGTAAGGATTTGCTAAAGTTCTACTCGTCATAAAACAAAACGAATAAGAAGATTTACCAGAGTTTGTGTCTAAAAGGACTAAATATGTGTTGTTGTTGTTTCTTGTACTTCTTGTTCTTGTTCTTCTTCTTTTTATGTCAGACTCTGGGAAATATCGTGTGATAAAAATAAACTGTGAATATTTATCTTCGGGGACTTTTTGCGTGGTCAGTATTCATTTTCATAAAAAGCTAATTTATACATGGCGTTTTATGAGGAACAAACTACTTGCTTAACTTTGTAGTAGTAACACAAATGTAGGCTACTGAATTAGGAATATATAAGCTTAAGCATGCGTTTTATGTGCCATACACTTTACTATGAAACTTTTTTCCCTACTGGTTTTAGGAGATTAAATAAATAATACATAAAATAGGTATGTTATGTGGGTAGTTTGCAAGTTAGTTTAAATGTGCACCATGTAACTTTTTTGTGTGGAGGGTCAACCACCTGTTTAATGATACTGCTTTGACTGGAATGTTCTACACACTACACACTGACATAAACTTGTTTCAATAAAATAAGTTTAATCACATACATGGAACATTCCAGACAAATCAAGAATATCTCCATGGAGACAAGCATGTGGTGCGCTTCCACTAGAAAGGTTACATATTGTATATAGTGTGAAATTTTTACGAGTGAGTCTTTAGCCTTCCTGTACAGCCATTAGTTTTTGATTGCTACCCATGTACCATGTCTACCATCTGCTTATTGCTTCTATTTCTCCTCTTGTGTTACAGAAGGACTCCACTTCACTCTTCCACTTTTCCTCCATGAACATGAATGACGTCTCTGTGAATGACGTCTCTGTGCCAACAGTATGACTCCACCTACTGCTTATAAGGACCCGCCCACTACCTTTAGGTGTCAACATGCCTGGTTAGGCTTTGATCACTATGCACACCAGGGTAAGATAAAATGGTAATCCTTATAAGGTTTATTTTTTCTTTTTTTTCTTTTTTTTTAATTTTTGTATGGAATAGATTTGTGAAATTTGTTTTTGTTTGCTTTTTTATTTGACTGAATCCCTGTCTGTCCACAACCTAAACAGAGCATTAAGGTCAAACAGCCAACTTCTACTAGAAGTCCCCAGAGCCAGGCTCAAACATACGGGTGGTGGGGCTTTCTCTGTCACTGGCCTCAGACTCTGGAACAAACTGCCCCCGATATGCACACCATCACAGACTTTAGCCTGTTTAAATCCAGGCTCAAAACTTATCTTTTCACACTTAGTAATGCAGTGACACTTTGCACAATGTCTTTTCATTTTACTGTTGATTTGATTAGAAAGCACTTTGAGCACCTTGAGTGTTGTAAAGGGCTCTAGAAATAAACATTGATTGATTGATGGAAGGAGGGATATACCCCTTTATGTGTCACTTTTCATCATATCAAGAATATCTTTAGCTTAGTGATACAAACAGAGCAAAAAATAAGCTGCTTAAGATACAGTGGCTCAATGGATAGCACTTTTACCTCACAGTAAAAATGTTCTGTATTTGACTCCCCTGTCATATGTGAAGTATGCATGTTTCTCTTCTTGTCTGGGTGGGTTTCCTTAGTTTCCTCCTTCAACCCAAAACATGCACAAAACTGGAAGACTGGAGCCCTAATCAAATCTAGCTCAAGATCTGGAGATGGGTCTGGGTAGAAGCAATGTGGCGGCTACTGCGTTTGATAGGGTGGGTCAAATACAATATCAGTGTTCCTTTTGAAATCAACAAACTTAGCCTTAACCTTAACTTAGACCCTTTGATAGCTTAAGATACAGTAGCGGTCACATTTTAGCAAGCTGACTATGAATATTTAAAGGTCCTATATTCCACACATTGGACAGAATGTTATTTACTCCTCAGAAACATACCTGGAGTTGTGTTTTGTTTCATTCACACATGTTTGATTAAATCCTGCTGTATTAGTTTGTCTACATCTCTCTCTACATGCTCTCTTCCACCTTGTGATATCATGTAATGGTAGTTTTCAACTTAACGGCTACTTTTCACCCTTTCTTTAGCAGTTTTGGCAGTTTCAGGGCTGAAATTATCCCAGTGATTCTAGTGAAGGTGTATAGAGGTTAAAAACACATTGGAGGACTTCCTGTATTACCACATGACATCACAAAGTGGAACAGAATGTTTTCAGATTGAAACAAGAACTCAGCCTAAATATGCATAATTCGTGTGTTAAACTTGCGTGAAAGAAACAAAACACAACTCCAGGTATGTTTTTGGTGATGAAACAACATTATACCAGATCAGAAAATAATGTAATATGGGCTTTTAAAATAGCAAAATGTTCTTTCAAACAGCTGAATCTTGTAGAAACCTGCCAACACTGCTGTTTAGACTGCTGTTACAAACTTTTTTAAAATACACGTAATTTGTGAATTACTTTAGCAGCTCATATTTCACCTCAAATGCAATTTATCAATGAACGTTAGTCAATGGAATTCTTTGCTTTTAGCTGAAAAAGATATATGTTACTGTACCAATGATTTGTTTAGACTGTTGACTTCAGCTTCATCGTAATGAATTGGCCCTGCACTGGGGGCTAATTAGCAAATTGGCCTGTGATTGAACGACTCTTAATTAACTTTATTTCAAATGGTTCCTTTTAGACAGCTGCTATATAGACATTTTGTTCTTTTCGCTTCTAGTCTAAACATTCAACCTGAGGACTGATGCAAAGTATATTTCTGTGCATTTGTAGCCATTAAAAACGTGCAGTGAATGGTTCGCTAAATGGGCATGGTCCATATACATTTATTAAGCCCCATAACATGCTGTAGTGGTGCTCTCTAATTGCCTATAACAAAGAGGAGCATGGAGCTTATGACTATTTATAAACCGCAGTAGAATGGGAAGAAACTTTGTATGGATGTAAGGGTTAGTTATAATATGTAACAATAGATTTAATTTCCTTTCCATTGGATTTTATTTGAAAAGACTGCTTGTAATTAAATATAAAATATGCCAAAGTCTAAATGGGCCTTCTCGTCTCTCCAAAAAGAAAGATTTTGGCAGCCATATCTCCAGGGTTTTGCATGTTTTTCCTGTGTTATTTATAAATGTACTTTATTGTCCTGTATGAAGGTGTACTCTGCATTGGACTCATCCTTAGACGTCCCATATTATGTCAAAACCAAAAAACAAGTTGTTTCGTTCACATCTTTGAGTAATTCTGCATTATTAGTCTGTCTATCTTTGAAGCTGAAAATGTTCGGTTCCACCAAAAGCAACTTTTACCATTAGTTCAGTAGAGATTCTCAATTCCATAGCTGAAATTACCTAAATGATTCAATAGTGAATTTGTAGGGAGTTTAAGAATGTAGTGGGGCACTTACTGTATTATGACATGACATCACAAAGTGGAACCGAACATTGTTTTTGGTTTGGGAGAAGAACTCTATACAGGATTTGTGTGTTAAACATGTGTGAATGAAACAAAACACAACTCTGGGGATGTTCTGATGAGGAAACAGTAGAAAAAATAATAATAATAATGTAATATAGGCGCTTTAATAGGAGGCAAACTTGTCCGGAGGAGCAGTGGTTGAATAGCAAAGCAGCATATGGCAACCCAGCTCCAGATCTTGGCTTGGTCAGGGCTCTGGCTGGACAATTATTCTAATCAGGAACATTGGAGGTAAGCAAAGAAAATCATGCTCACTAATCTTCCAGTTACATCTCCCTGACCAAGATCCAGGATCAGATTTTGAGCTGGGTCCAGTTTATCTGCAGGATGCATTGGTCAAAACCACTGGACCTTGGCCTTCTTAATTATGGTAAAAATTTGAATCACGATTATTTGGTTAATAACTGAAATCATCTTTTCATTTTCTATTCTGTAATATATCTACAACCAAAGTACTTCTTCTGATATTTGTTATTAATTATATTTAGCGACCATAGATTGTATGTAGAAGTGGACTAAGGAAGTGTGACGTCACCCATAGCATTTGGTTCCAGTCAAATGAAGCTTACCAGGGCAATAGTTATAGGAGCAAATTTGAAGTAAAGTTCCACATTAGGAATAAGAATTTATTTATAGACAAAATAGCCAAATGATACCACTAGGATCATGTAGAGCAGGTTATACGAACATTTTAAGACCAAAATGACGAGGCTCACTTTATCAGTTACAGAGAGAGGGGGCACAGGTTTTACATGTAAAGTCACTTAGTGGGTTAACTATATCTGTTTATGGATACAGTCTAAGTATGTGATGTATGATTTCAAAGCCATCCATCCTTTTTTTTCCACTTATCCAGGGCCGGGTCACAGGGACAGCAGTCTGAACAGGGACTCCCAGACTTCCATCACCCCAGGCACTTCCTCCAGCTCTTCCGGTAGGACCCCAAGGCGTGCATAGTTCAGTCAATCACAACATTTTTGTAACTGAATAGAGCAATAATTGAAATCAGGATTGGATAACTATCTGGACCTTAATATAAATGAAGTCTTTGTGGAGGATTTGAAAAGTATTGCAGTATCATTTATTCAAAGGTTTACCCACATTGACCCTAAATAGGCCTGTCATGATAATTACTATATCCACTTTTTATTCAATACATGAAAGATGTGAAATTGTTTTCGGTGGTCAGTATTTATCATGAGTACTTTTTCTTTGTATTAGATGGGAATTTTTAGTTATTTTTTCTGTACTACAGTCTATACTATATAATAACATTTGGGGTATAGAGGGTTGGATAATTACTGCTATTACTCATGATGTCGATGTAAACTAAATACAGAAGGGTTTCATTCCATTAGATACTGCTCACTTAGAGTCATTTTTTGGGTGATAATTCTACTTTTATAGACTATATTTTTTTAATATCATAACAGACCTTTACTTAAACTGTTATAGTTGTTGTTTTTGTGAAGGTAAGTATGTGATTCCCTTAGACATAGGCCTCGTTAGAACTTGGATGGGAGAGCACTGGGAAAATCAGGTGCCACAGAGGGGCGCCAGTCACAAAAAAAATTGTGTCCTTAGGCAAGGCACTTCACCCACATTGCCAGTTATGAAAGTGGTGAGTGCGTGAGTGATGGTGGTGGTCGGAGGGACTGATGGCATGGCAGCCGCGCTTCCATCAGTTTGCTCCAGGGCAGCTGTGGCTATAATAGTAGCTTAACATCACTGGGTATGGAGTGACTGAATAATGCTCTGTAAAGTGTCTTTGTGACAAATGTCTGTGAAAAGCGCTATAAAAATAAAATACTTACTTACTTACTTACTAATGTGAGTAGATTAAATATCCTGTTGTTCAAAATTGTGTTACTCAAAATTGACTCTTGTTAAGTTATGTTATAATGCTGTTACCTCCCCCAAAACATATTTTACATGTTTTAGTAATGCTTTATTATTAGTCTGTCTACGTCTCCAAAGCTCTAAATGCTCTGCTCCACCTTGTGATGTCATTAAATGGTAGTTTTCAAGTTAACAACTAACTTTCAGCTTAAGTTCAGCAGAGATGGGAAATATCAGGTGCTGACATGAACCAAATGATTCTAGTGAAACAGTATGGAGTTTAAAAAACACAGTGGAGCACTTCCTGTATTACCACATGACCTCACAGGGTGGAAGAGAGTGTTCTCTGTATGAGAGAAGAACTCACCCTAACTATAGAGGGTTTGTGTTAAACATGTGTGAATGAAACAAAACACAACTCCAGATGTTTTTGTGATGAGGAACAACACTATAACAGAAATCAGAAAATAGCGTAATATGGGTTCTTTATATGAATAGGAAATGCTTGAATTTTATGAATGGATTCAGCTCTCCAAAACCACGTGTTGGTGGTGTTGGTCGTTCCAATTTTCAATTCTAAAACATTATTATTTCTGCCGTTCTGTTTTTATTTTACGCACAGAGAAAGCGGCACTCCACTGGTCTCTGCCGTATTCTCCCAGTTTTGGCGAGGGACACCACTTAGTACCCAGCGGACTCCTATTGCCAGGTTACATCCCACTGCGCGCGGTACAGTGGGAGCCCAGACAACTGCACGAGCGTTTCCCAGAAGCCTCTCCTCCGCTCCTCCGCTCCCTCTCCGCGTCTGAGAACTACACGCCGAGCACCACTTGTTTTTGCTGTTTGTTACGACACTATCCTCTCTCTCTTTCTCTCCGGGGGTTTAGTACGTAACGTCGGCGCGCACTCCCCCTTCTTTTTTATCGCGTTTTGGTGACCCCCTTCTCCTGCCCGGTGGTATCGTCCGTTCGAGCGAGCAGAGCCGGAGCGCAGTAACTGGCTGCAGGTCGCTTGGAGAGGGACACACGCAGTGGCTCTGGACAACTGTACACTGCCTATCTTTAATCATTGCTCGCTTGCTGCTTTTTTGCGCTCGAACCACGCGCTTTACGCACGGTTTTGGAAGCAACTTGGGATTTACAACACTTCAACAAGGTAAGACCTAATCACTTTTTGTGTTTTGTTTAAGTGAAAAGCTGAATTTGCTGATAGAAAGGCAGTTAAGGATGTATTGGTACCACTTTGCAGCTTGTATCTTGCTTTTAAAGGAATTTAAGATCTCACTGAGTCGCTCCTCACTTAGTTTGAATTTGTTAAAAGGTATTATTCTTTTAGCTTGTTTGTCAGTGCTTTTCTAAGAGTCAAGTTCGTATTTGATTGATTAAAACCACCACCTTACGCGGGATAGGCTACAGTCTGGGCGATAGCGTTTCACGGCCACGCTTCTTTGGGTCCCCTGTCTTTTTGTCATTTGCTATCCAAGCTCGCACGTTTTATTCAGGGCACTTCTTCGCTCGCTGCTCCCCATTCCTTCCTTTATGCCGCTCCGGTTTGACTTTCCGCTCACGTTTCATCCCGGGATCAGAGGAGCGTTTGTGGGCTGCAGGGGCTCCTTGTGCCCGCCACATTAGCCCTGGTTCCAACTTACTTTGTCCCGAATAGCAACACAAGGAAATCGTTTTATTGAATCGTAGAAGTAACATAGGCCTCTTCTATCAATTTATTTACCGTGCACAAAACAGTTTGTTTCTTATTGTCCAGTTCTCAAAAGCAATAGTGCAACTATTGTTTCATAAATGTGCTTTAAGCTTTGTTAAAACAAAAAATTTAGACCAACATATTGTGATCCAGCTTTGTAAATTAGCAGATGTCCTATCAATATTTGTCTTTTTGAACCAACTGTTGTTTTTCTTATTGTCTCCTTCACAAACCCATCTACTGTGCCTTTATTGTTTCCAAACAGACACAGATTTTTCCTATTTAAAGTAAGAATTTAGCTCTTTGTCTCTATATATGTTAGTGGGAGCCGTGTCTAGTTGTTGTCAAAATTATCAATATTGTTAGGGGCATCTTTGTTTACCGTTTCCAATAATCCCCTTCGCTTTTACGCGCGACACTTGTCCCCATTGCGCACAGCCTTACACGTGTTTGATATTGTTTTACCGTTTCAAATTCCCTGTCAGCACTTCTGGCACTAAGTATTGTCCGTGTCGCTTATAAAATTACACATATCAGCTTGTCAAATGTCTAAATTCCTGCTTATTTAGTCCGCGTCAGATTGCTCGCTTTGTGTCACGGCTTTGTCCAACTAGAGATACCCAAAAAGGCGAGCGCGAAACAGGCTGTCTCCCAAACTATTATTTCGATTGTGTGAATATTATCTGATCAGAAATGACTTTGATATCTTGATTTTATTCCTGGTTTTGCGTTCGGGGCATTGTGGAGTGGAGGATTTGAGTATCGCGTGTCGACAGAGGGCAGTGTTACGCAGCGCTGTGTGTTTGTGAGAGAAGCGTCAGGTGAACTCCGCCGCTGCTGCGAAACTTGACAATGAGCTTTGACATTGACGAGGACACAAAACTATTGAGTCACTCTCTTTGTCACCGTTTTCAATGGCTCGGAGTGGTTAAGCAAGCGGGTATGACAAGTTCCAATGGTGTTTACAATCAGTGATGGAAAGAATACATTTAGTTACAGAATACCTGCATTAACATTTTTGTTACGCATTACCATACATGGGCCAATCAGAGTACTGTATTGACATCGAGTTACATTTAAATTATAGAGTAAAGACAAAACATGTCATTCAAATAACTCTGTTTGTTTCACAGTTTTTAAAGCATTTCCTATCACTAATTGGAGATAGAAAAATCACACACCACAAGAGCACAGTTGTCTATTTTTCTCACTAATTATGTGCACTGTAGTGTATTTCTTTGATTTTAGTAAAGTAAGTATATTCTCATTGCCACCAAATGAAAAAGAAAGTACCTGAATACAGTTAGCCTATTCAAAACTATTATTCAAAATCCATATTCTCGGCACATGCATTTAGTTATGGTTTACAATAATGTAAGACAAAATCTATATGAATCTATAGCCTGCTAGTATAATCAAGAACCAGGCAAATATTCACCCCTACTAATAGACTGACCTCGGTAAGTTGAGCAAAATATCCTAAAATACATTTTATTTAGATGTAATTTCTTCTCATAAAAAGTACTTGAGACAGTGGTTTTTCATATCTGTGAGAATAGTGGTTTGTCCAGACAACATTTTACCAATATAACTAATGTGATACTAGCCTACTACTAGAACAATCCAAGTTTATTTGTAGTCATACCTTTAAAAAAAAGAGTTATTTAGTTATTAAGTTACATAGGCTTATTGATATGAGATCTGTGTAGTTATATTCATAGTTTATGGACATAGCAGTTACATTGAATGGACCAGATGCGTTGTTTCTAGTGTTATAGTAAAAGTGCATATTTTCAACACCTGTCCATAGGAGGCTTTTGGGTCATTTGAAACAGTATAAAAATTCTAACTCACCCTTCATATACTAGTATACAGCATTGTTACGTGTACAACTCTGCCCTGATTTGAACCATGGTCTAAAAGCATAACATGTTTTGTTGAAATGAATACAGTTTTATAGATTTTATAATACTTGATTTTAACATGGACTGGTCTTCTACTTATGATTCTGCTTATTCTGTTATATCTTAAAGGGCCCATATTACTCTATTCTCTAATCTATGTTATAATGTTATTTTCTCATCAACACAGAAGCCTTGCATATTTACGCTGAGTTCTTCGCTCAAACAGAAAACACTTTGTTCCACCTTTTGATGTCATGTGATAATACAGAAAGTGCTCCCATTTGTTTTTATACTCCATACACCTTTGCTAGAGTAATTTGGATGATTTCAGACCTGGACCTGCCGATCTGAACTGAAAAAAAAGTTTAAAAAAGCTGATAACACTACCGCAACATGACATCATATGGTGGAACAGAGCATTTTTAGCTTTGGAGACGTAGATAGATTAATAATAAAGGATTACTCAAACATGTGTGAATGAAACAAAACACAACTCCATGTATGTTTTTGTATGTATGTTTTTGATGAAGTAATGGCAGTCTAACACAACTAAAAGCTCACAAGAGTCAATTTTAACCTTTAATGTTGACTGTAACTTGAATAGGTATGTCTTGCTGATAAAAATTTTCAAAATTGAATCCTGCTCACATTAAAATCAACCTGCATGGACTATTGTTTTAACATGGATAAGGACAATTTCATTCACACAACATTGACTGAGGCATGTCCCCATTAACTTCAACATATACGCAATTAACTTTGGGCCACAAATTTTTACTAACTTGAATCGGATTCTTTTAATAGTTCTTTGTATTTCCTCGAGTCAATTAAAAGTCAAGCGCTGTTGAGCAGGCTTTCATCTGCACGCTCTTTATAGGACCTAGCGTGGAGAGAGCTGCGGTTCTCTTGTAGTATCACTGCACTAAATTCATTAAGAAACTCGAAAAGCAATTTGACTTCCAACGCTGTGGGTTTTTATGGCTGTTCATTTTTAATATTATGAGCAAAATTACCGAGTGCTACACGAACGAAGGGCACTTTGAGTATTAATCGTAAAAGTACCACTATAGCTGCGATTTGAATGACGCATTAGCGAGCTCGCCTCTCCACAGATCGGACCTCTAACTTGGTGGACTAGTGGTAGTTTAAGGACTCATGTTATTCTGTTTTCTGATCTATGTTATTATAATGTTGTTTCTTCATCACAAACATACCTGGAGTTGTGTTTTGTTTCATTGATACATACACAAATCCTGCATATTTAGGCTGCGTTCTGCTCTCAAACAGAAAACACACTGTTCCACCATGTGATGTCATGTAGTAATACAAGAAGTGCTCCACTGTGTTTTTAAGATCCATACACCTTCGCTAAGGTAATAAGACCATTTCAACCCTGGAATTGCCAATCTCTCCTGAACTGAAAGTAAAAGGGAGCTGTTAACTTAAAAAATACCACTCTGTGACATCACAAGGTAGAACCGCACATTTTGAGCTTTGGAGTTGTAGGTAGACTAATAATGCAGCAAGCTTATTCAAACATGTATGAATGAATCAAAACATATCACTAGGTATGTTTTTGAGCATTCTACCATGTCTTAAAAGTCACAAGAGTCAATTTTGTACAATATCGTACCTTTAATGCCATACTGTGATGCACTATCATCTCCATAGAAACAAGTATACAATCCCCTACAGCTGTGTTTTGTATATATTTAGCACACGAAAATATTGTCAGATCTACAGTAGTCATTACTGTGACAGACTTGGGCGCAACACAAGCAACAAGAAAAGCACTCAGAGAAAGCAGACCTCCGCCAAGGACTACCCCCATTTTTTATATAAATTACGATAAAATCAGTCTTCTGGATCAGATCCGGATCAGCCTTTGGAATATGAAAGAGGATCCCATTGTCCATCCCTGAGTCAAATTTCATGGGGTTTGGTCAATAATTAACCGAGATATTGAGAAACAAAATTTTTGGCCCCATTTACCACAATGTTAACTAAAATTTCAAAGTGATCCAGAATCCAGGATTTCTTCCGGATCACCCCCAAAATGAAATCAGTTCTTCCTTTTCACATTTCCAACAAATCCTGAAAATTTCATCAAAATCGGTCCATAAATTTTTGAGTTATGTTGCTAACAGACAAACAAACAAACAGACAAACGCCGGCAAAAACATAACCTCCATGGCGGAGGTAATAAAGCAATATTGCTTTATGGTGGAGAATCCGTCACTTCCATGTTTTCAAGAAGATATCGCTGCGTTTGGAATGTTCCCCAATATGGCATTAAATTTATCAATCTCAAGCAAGCAACGCAATCAAGCCAAGTTACAGATTAGATCTGTGTAGAGGTGATTGTGAAACATTCAAGGTAAAGCAATATATGTATAGCAGACCTTCGGGCAGAAAACTTACATTATATACCTTTTAAATGGCAAGCAAATGACTTATTAATGTGGATATTTTGTGATTGGTCTTATAGTGGCATAATCGATCTTGTGAGAAAGAGTAGAGTCAGAAAAAACAAGGATTTATGAAGGTTAATCT